TTCTAAAAATCGCGTGCTATTCCATTCCAATTCTGTGTCCTTCTCGGGAACACAAAACAGATCAGTAGTTGGGGTGAGGCAAGGGTGTAATAGAGAGGAGGTGTACCGTGGCTGTGGTCATGGTTCCGCGAGACTGTTTATGGACTTAGAATTCATGAAAATCCACTTGGGCAAAAGATAATTCAGTTGGGCCCTAATTTTTAAAATAAAATGCATGAAGTAACCATGGCTAGAGTGCTGCCAGTGGGAGTGAGTGGTGGTGGTAGAGTTTGTCCCTAGGAAATCAACTGTCCCTCCCTGGCCCCTTGCTCATTTCACACAGCAGTGAAAGCAGGAAGATAAGCATCGGAAGGATGTTCCCTTCCCAAACCACCCTTAGTGACCTTTAGTGGACACTCTTTAGTGACGTAATTAAGATCACAAACGGCATTTGGTTCAGTCCTTGACCTCGGATGTGATGTCGATATATATATTTTAAAAAATAGGTTAAAAGTGATGAAACATGGCTGTACATCTGTGGCTGTCTGTAAGCATTCATAAGGGCTGTCAGAGACTCTAGAGAGGTCTTCAATCTATGACCTTCTCAAAGAGAGGCTGTCTCACACATTGCCTTTGGGAAATCCAAGGAGACGGGTAACATGTGGGGCATGTTTTTCTGTGGTTTGTTTCTGAGGAGGTAAATGAAATGGCTATTGTGACCCTAAAGCCAGCTCGAAATGTCACACAGAAGATTCACCAGTACCAGACACAAGCTTTGGGGTGCTTAGTTTAGGAGAACCTCTAGAGTTCTCGGTGTCTCAATACCAGGGTCTTTCTACTGTAAACTCCATCCCTAGGTAATTCTACCTACATGAAGTATAGAGTAGTGTACTTTCCTAAGTATGACAGGAAATGTCTGTTAAATTCTTACAAGTCACAAGAGGGCATCTTCCTCCCATCACCACTGCCTGCTGCTGCCATTCAACAGCAAGCTTGTAAATTTCAAAGCAGACAGAACCTAATTTCCAGCAGGAACCGGAACTGAACTTTGTCCTGCCTCTGCTCCCATTTCTAGACGTGTTCTTGCCATCCCAGAGGGTCTTTCCCTGGACCAGTCCAGCCCCTGCTGCCTCCAGTCCCACTCCAATCTCCCCTACACACATACGCAGCATCTTACTTTGCTTTGGCACAGGGACAGATGGCAAAGGTGCTGGCCTTGCTTTGGGAACTGGTCCCAGTAGGTACACAGGACCTGAGGTTTCCATTTTCTGCTAATCTTTTTCTGCTGATTTTGAAGCAGGATGCAGGAGAGACTAGCATGCCCCTTTAGTCTCCCGCCCGCTGATGCAATTGGTTGTTCCCTAGAGAATCTATTTCACAAGATGAAGCCTCAGCAGTTTCCCTCGGCTCAGCTCCATACTGCCAAGTCGTTTAGGTTCTTCTTCTACGTAGTATTAATATTTTATCATTTCCTGAGCCTATCTCTGTGCTCTTGTATAGGCCAGCCTTTCTCTCTGACTTCACACAACACATGTGTTGAGATGGATGACAGATTGTTCGTGGTGAAGGCTGTACTGGACACTCAAGCGATTAGCTGTATCCTAGTCTTTATGCGGTTGACTATACCCTCTCCAATACACAGACACACACACACTACCCAGTGTTTTCAAGGTGAAGTGTAATAGCAGTCTGCCCCTTGTTCTGAACCGTTTGCCATCGTAGTGTCAGACGCTTGACAGAAACAGCCTAAGGAGGGAGGTTAGCCTGTGGTGGCTTGGCTGCATGTGCTGAACAGAGCACCCCAGAGGAGGAAGCAGATGGACAAGAAACAGAGAGGGTCAGATTCAGCCCCTCCAAAACACACTCTCCATGGCCATCTCCTTCCAGTTCTATAGGCCCGACTGAGGAAAAGAGTCACAGATAAAAGTTGCTGCTGTTTTTGGTTTGTTTGTTTTTAAGAGAATTTCTGGGAGCTGTGCATGAAACCAACTCAGAACCTGGTTGTGCAGACATATCCAACTGCAAGAAACATTAGGAAATGTGGATGTCTTTGTGCTCAGCTGAAATTTGGGGACTTGGTTGCTCTTAAAGAGGAAGATCTGGATGTAAGAGACTAAGGTGACAATTAACTACTGTAGGTGTATGAGCTCAGGACACTCCTGTGGCCTGTCCTTGCTCTCATGAAGCTGAATTAAAGCGATCTCATTCTGCTCATTTCTTTAGGTGATGGTATTGGTAGGTTTTGCAAAATTGGAGCTCATAGGCAAGAATCTCATCTCATCTGAAAGAAAAAAGAGACTAAGGGTGTAGCATGTAAAGAGAAGCAGATTGGAGAACAGGAGGGAGGTAGGGGAGGAAGAAATGGGAGGAGAGGAGGGAGGGAAAACTGTGGTCAGGATGTTAAATAAATAAATAAATAAATAAATAAATATTTTTTTAAAAAGAGATGCAGAAGTGATTCTGAGTGTGTGTGTGTGTGTGTGTGTGTGTGTGTGTGTGTGTGTGTGTAGGCTAGAATCTGTTGTCAGATATCTTCCTCAATCACTCACTGCCATATTCTGTGAGTTATGGTCTCTACTGAGCCTTGAGCTCACCAATCCAGCTAGTCAGACAAGGAGGTCCTGGGATCTGCCCGCCTCTGATTGCAACCGCACATCACCGTGCACCATTTTTTACACGGATCCTGTGGTTCTGAACTGAGTGTCTCAGGCTTGTTTGCCGGGGACCTTACACAACCATTTCCCCAGCCCCCTGACACCCACACATGCTCGTGTGTGTGTGTGTGTGTGTGTGTGTGTGTGTGTGTGTGTGACAGGATCTCACCTGCGATCTAGAACTCTCAACCATTTGCCTCAGCTTCTCTAGTGCTGGGATTATTATATTCAGGAAGGCTCTACTCTGCCTCATTTTCCAAGGCTTTCTGAGCCGGGCTTCACCACCCAGGCCTTTCCCCAGCTTATGTGCTTGAGCCAAAAGTTCCTATTGTTTAAATAAGGAGGAACTGGATGCTCATTGCTTGCAACTAAAAGGTCTTAAAGCAACTCTCTACCTCCCTGGAGTTTTGTTGAAGGTGGGGGTAAAGGACACACAAGATAGCGCATACAGCAGTCACCATGGACCCAGAATGCCAGCTCTTAGTGATGTGCTTTAAATAACATGGTGTAGATGAAATCTAGAAAAACTCTCTTTTTAAAAGAGTTCCATGTAGATTGAGATCTTATCCCCTCTCAGAAGATCCAGATCTTTCTTCGCCCCGCTCCTTGTCCCTCTTGTAAACACAGAACAACTCCGGAACGATTTTTCAAATCTGCATTTTCTTCTGATGTAGTCTGACAGGGAGGACTAGGATAGAGTCCCACTCCCTTTTTAGTTCAGGATTTCGTAAGCTGGTACATTCTTAATGGTCAGCGAGAGCTGCTGGAAATGGGTCTTGGAGAGCATTCTTGAATAAAGGCAGTGATATGAGCAGCCAGTATTTACTGAGCACATGCTGTGTTCTGAACATATTTCTAAGAGTTTTACGATTTTATGATTTAGTCCTTAATATGTTATTATTACTCCAGTTTCCAAATGGGCAAAGCAATACAATCAATAAATAGTAAGCCAGGATTTCATGTCAGGGAAATTGATCCAAGAGCCCTAACACCTCGGCTTCCATGCTCTGACACCTCCCATGTTGAAGGCAGTTCACTAAAGAGCCTTGGAGTCCAATCACTCCTGTCAGAGACCAGGAGAACTCCCGAGTCATTTGATCCCATTGCAAAATAAAAGTAGGCACTGGGCCAAAACCCAGAGGTGATGGAGTTTTATATAAACACACAGGGTTCCTGATTTTTAGCTGGAATCTTTTAACCAAGGGTCCCACCTTTCATGTAATAAGTATGTGCCTTGTGCATGTACATCTTTGAGGTCTTACTTGGAAAAATCACCCCAAGTAACAGCTGGTATTCCCAAGTGTATGTATGCCAGACAGATCCCATTTGCTGAATCAGATCAAAATAGAGGGTTTTAAGAAAATTCATAGTTAAGAATTCACCATGAACTTCACACCCTCATGGAAGGCTTGCCTGCCCTTGCCAAGGTCAAATCTGTCTTCCCAAGCTCTTCTATTTAACCACGGTCAGTTGTAATTACACAAAGTATATGTGTATCTATGTGTATGCACAGAAAAGTATGTAATCATGCATATACATTTCATGTGTGGATGTCGAATTGGTGGTGATGGTGACAACACTTTTACTTGTTACAAGTTCCTAGAGGACAGAGTTCGCGTCAGTTTTCCCCCTGCTCATCCTCTTGGTACTTATCAAACATCACAAACTGCTACAGGAAGGAAAGAACCGACAAACGCATGAATTATCAGATGCAGGCAAGGAGTGCAGGAATTCTGCATTTGTGATGCGCAGGGTGGGCGCCATGTCAATAGCCCAGGATTTGAACTGGTTCTCAGGAGTTTGTGCCCTTAGGGGAATTATGCAAATATTCCCTTTGGGCGGCTTAGACACTCCCCACCCACCTCCTAGAGTGGAAAAGAAGCCCAAAAGGTGAGCAAGCAATTTTCAAGGCACTCTTTCAACTCGGCCAGCCCCCCGCGTGTTTTTCTCTACAATGTTTCCAATTACTGTGGCACTCTCGGTATCCAGATCCATCTCCAGCGAATTCCTCCGCAGCTCCTTGCCAGACATATGGGATCAATCAGTGCGCTTGTGAGGGAATGTTGACAGCATGACAGGAGAAGGGTTCTGGTGTCATGGAATCTCCAAGAGTCTTTAGCTGGATCCCAGGGAAGGGGGGGGGGGGGCGGGGAGGAGAGAGATAGGGGAGAGATAGGGAGAGGAGAGGAGAGAAGGAGAGGGAGAGGAAAGAGAGGACAGACGAAAAGGAGGGAAGTGACTCTGGCTTCACTGCCCCCTTCCTTCAAACATTTTATAGGCTTCGGGAGAGAGAGGGGAGGAGGAGAGAAACGAAATAGCCCAGAGCCAAAGGAGCAGAGCACTCCAGTCCCTCCAGAGTCCCGTCCGTCCCCCGAGCTGCCAGAGAAGTCTGGATCCTGTCCCCAGTGTCACATGCAAGGGCTCTGAGTCTCGCGGCCACTATCCCGGGTCCCGTCTGCACAGCTCGGACCATCAGGCTCTTCTCTGGCGCTCTCAGGGACTGTCGCCTTGCACTCCCTGGGGCCGCTGCTTGGTCCCCAGCGCGATGTGGTGGTGCCTGGCCGTCTGTTGCTGGTCTCTGACACTGGTGTCCGGCTGGACCAACTTCCAGCCCCTGGCTCCGTCACGCAACTTCAGCTTCCGCCTGTTCCCCGAGGCCTCGCCTGGGGCTCCGGGCAGACTGACCTTGTCACCCGCGTCCGGCGAGGAGGAGGCGATGGGGAGCAAAGTGGAGCGTCTGGGCCGCGCGTTCCGGAGCCGCGTGCGGCGCCTGCGGGAGCTCAGTGGCCGCCTGGAGCTCGTCTTCTTGGTGGACGAGTCGTCCAGTGTGGGCCAAACCAACTTCCTCAACGAGCTCAAGTTCGTGCGCAAGCTGCTGTCCGACTTTCCCGTGGTGTCCACGGCCACGCGCGTGGCCATCGTCACTTTCTCGTCCAAAAACAACGTGGTGGCGCGCGTGGATTACATCTCCACTAGCCGGGCACACCACCACAAGTGCGCGCTGCTCAGCCGCGAGATCCCGGCCATCACCTACCGCGGTGGTGGCACCTACACCAAGGGAGCCTTCCAACAAGCTGCGGTAAGACCCCGACCCCCCAGGCCAGCGCTCCAGGGTTCCTTCCGCCCAAAACTGCCATCCTCTTCTCCGGTGGGGTTCAGCCCCAGCAAGGCTCAACATGCCGGAGGGGAGGCGAGCTTCTCCAGCCTCACAAACAGGACCATTCTCCTGCTGTCCTTGTGGGAGTGCCTAGGGATAATTGGTTTAAAATACTTAGTGAGGTGTCAGGCTTCTCAAAAGATCCCTTTGACGGATCCTGAGAAGAAGGGACCCCTGATCTCCCTCTCACATCCACACTTGTGTGTATCTGAGCCGGAACAGGTATGGTTTCACCAAAACATTTGTGAAGAGGGGCAGGCAGTGAACTGAGGACAGCCCTGAATCTTTCTCACGTTGTAGAAAGAGCACACAGTAACTTTGCTTTGTTTATTTGTTTGTGACAGGCTCTCCTGTTTCCCACACTTGCCTCCACTTACTACATAGCAGAGTGTGTCCCTGAGTTCTGATCCTCCTGCCTTCATCTCCCAAGCACTGGGATGACTGCCACTGACCACCAAGACTTTATGCTACAGGTCTTTAGTAGATAAATGTTTAGCAACTGGCAAAAGTCAGTTTCACGTGGTAGACCCTTATAGAAATGTGTCTTTTTCCTAACTTCACAGTAATACATGGCTGAGCATAATTTGGAACACAGAAAAATAATTAAGGCAATCCAGGAAGTCAATGTTTGTGGAATAAATAAAACATAAAGGAGCGAGAAACCCCAACCATCTCTTCATCCTTAAAATTCCAGTTGATATACAGTTGAATATTGTCCCATATGTATATTTATATATTATTTCAACAAACTTGCTAGCATAGAGCTTTGCAGTCTGCATCCTTCAGCCATTGCATGTGACCCAAATGCACACTAGTTCATACTAGCCTGAGGCAGGACCATGGATGTCTGTAGAGGAAATTGGGTCCCCTGAGTTACAAGCAGTTTGTTGTAAACTGCCATGTGGATGCTGGTAAGGGAATTCATGTCGTCTGTCTGACAGTGCTCTGACCCCTGAGTCATCTCTCCAGCCTCAGGACCGCTGAGTGTTTTGAACTAAAGTATAGGCAGCACACATCCATGTCTTTTAAATAAGGAATTTGGGAAGCTCTCCTTGAGTGCCTCTTTTGGAGGGCTTCTTCAGTTCCTTATTTAGTAAACTGTATGAACGTTTTAAACTTCTCAGTCCACATTGTCACCTCCTCCATTGGAGAGCTCTATAAATCTGCATTCATCTGTCATGTTCACACAAATAGACGATTTAAAAAAAACATTTTGCTAACTTGATAGATAGCTAGAGGCATTGTTCTAGAAAGTTAAATTTTATAATTTTTGAGGAGGAATATTAGCTACTATATTTTATGTATGTAGCTAATATGTAGCTACTGGGCATTTGTCTTTATTTTTTTTTTCAGCCTGGTCATAGCTTTTGCCTTTTTGCTATTACAGGAATATTTGTTTCTTCTTAGTGATTCGCATACACTCTTTTTGTAGTGAGGTCGGGAACCCTTCTTGTATATGCAGCAAATGTATTTTGCAGTTTGTTGTATTTTACCTGCTTATTACAGTGTTGTGTTCAAGCCTTCTTTTGGTCAAGTCTATCAAAGTTTGCTTTTCAGATCCAAATTTGGGCAACTTTGGAGAGATGGCTCAGTTAAAAGCACTTGCTGCTCTTGCAGAGGATCCAGGTTCACTCCTCAGCACCCAGGTGGTGGCTCACAGCCATACTTAACTCCAGTTCCAGGGGATCCAGCACCCTCTTCCGAGCTCCCTGGGCGTTAGGCATGCATATGTTGCATATACAGCGTGCAGACAAAACACTCAGACACATATTATAAATAAATCTTCTAAAATTTTTAACAATTTATTTGTTTATACTGTTAGAATGACTGCCTTACTACTCAAATGAGAAACGCTTTCCACTTAACAGTCTGGTTAACCTGGAACTTTCTTAGGGGTCCCATGCAAAGATGTCTCATTTTTTTTTTTTAGTGTTAATTGTCCGAGCTCACTAGTTTGTTAGTTGAATGTCTCTCTCTTTTTAAAAAAGATTTATTTATTTTATTGTGTGTGTATGTATGTCTGTGTGAGGGTGCCAGATCCCCTGGAATAGGAGTTAGAGGCAGTTGTGAACTGCCATGTGGCTGCTGAGAATTGAATGCAGGTCCTCTGGAATTGCAGCCAGTGCTCTTAACCACTGAGCTGTCTCTAAATCCCCCAGGTGGTTGTCTCTTTAATCACCTAGTAAATGTGCATGGGCACTTGATCCCTCCTGGTCTTCTGGTTCATCCTGTCTTATTTTAAGTTGCACCAAAATGATTTAGTTGCTGTAACTTTACAATGTATTTAAACGTGAGATAGTGGGAAATCTCTTTTGGGTCTTGGCTTTTTCATCAGCCCTCCCTAGGTGTGATGCAACATAAAGTTGTATTGTTCTCATATAGTTCCAATAAAACTAATAAGATTTTTTGTTTCAGTATAGAAAATATTGAAGTGATTGGGAACTACTACATTTTTAGAACAGTATTATGCTCAACTATACCTTTTTATACCAATCAATAGCTGTGGTTTTTCAAAATTCCTGTAAATACTTTAAAAATTTAGACCAATATACAACATTATTATATATGAATCTATCCATTGTGGTATCAAGGATCAAGCCTGGGCTCTCCCATAAGCTGGGTAAGCACTCTATCACTGAGCTATATCCCCAGGTTTCTTTATTAACTTTTACTATTATGAGGCAGGGTCTCATTAAGTTGCCAAGGCTGGTCTTGTTCTTTATGATCCTCTTTCTTCAGCTTCCTGAGTAGCTGGGATCACAGGCCTGCTCCAAGAGGCCCAATCCATCTTTTGCATTTTATTTTAAATAATTGTTTTTGGATTCTCAAAACGTTCTTAATTTTTGTATCTCTATTTCCTTTTTATGCATATATCTTCCCTCATTTCTTCCCTCTAGCATGCCCTAGCCCCGAACCTCCAAATATGTCCCATGTCATGTCATTTCTTTATCTTTATTTTATTTATTTGTTTGCTTCTTTCTTTCTTTTTTTTGTTTTCTGTTTTTGGGGGGGATTTTTGGTTTTTGGTTTGTTTGTTTGTTTTTTGAGACAGAGTTTCTCTGTGTAACAGTCCTGGCTGACACTGAATTCACTTTGTAGACCAGACTGGCCTCGAACTCACAGAGATCGAACTGCCTCTGCCTCCCAAGTTCTGGAATTAAAGGTGTGCACCACCACCACCTGGCTTTTATAATCCGCAAAGTCCAGTTAGTGCTGCCATCTGCACGTGTGTGTCTAGGAGAAAACCTTACTATTCTGATCTAGTCATTCTTGAACCCCTGGGAACAGGGAATTCTCTTGTCTTCACTTCCCATGTAGTTGGGTGCTTGAAAACATCCCACATATTTGGGGCTACAGACCAGTGCTGCCATACTTAGCAATCAGATTCTTAGTAAAGTCTCTTAGACTCATGTCTTATTTCCTCTTCACAAATTGTACTTTACTAACAATGCACAGAATATGAAATAATCAGAAACGTTTCCTGCAAACAAACTGTAGTATGTTGATGTATAATATGTACATATATGTGCATATGTATGGGTGCATAAATAATATTTACCTAAATGTGAAGGAATTGCCCATTCTCTTCAGGTTTCTGTGTCGCCCCCTCCCCTCTTTTTCCAGCCTGCTGTTTATAATAGAAAATTCCCTTCTACTATATCAGTTTCTTTTATGATCACATGGTTTCTTGCCCTATGGTTAGCTATAATAATAGCTAACCATGCTGCTTGTAAGTGCAGGCTATTACAAGCAGCATGGTATATATTTGTCCACATCTCTGATCATCTTGTAAATACAAACCTCTGAAGGGACAACATTGCATCCGAGACTATGTGTGTGCCAACTTGTTCAGCAGAAAATGGCACCAGATTGTACTCCCATGTGTGGTGACCATGTAGTACTAGGGTGCAGAGTGGCCAGCCCAGGCCAGTATTTGAGTACTCCCTGGTTTTGTGTGTGAGGGGATGCATTCCCCTACTATCAAGGCTAAATATGCCCCCACGTGCTCTGCCCCCACGCACACTCTGACCAGTTCTCCAACTGCTCCTTTTGAATGCACCTTTGAACATTCCTGGCTTATCCCTCATTTTTCATCTGGGCGTGGTTCTTTCTCTTCCTGATTGGCAAACACACCTTAAATCTTAGTATGGCCCTAAGCTGACAATGAAATGCTACCTAATATTTTATCAATCTGTTGAATCTGGTTTTCTTTTCCTTTTCTGGCATGCTGTATAACACTTAAAAGGCTTTCCCCATGAAGTAACAACACAGGGATGGCTTTTTGGTTATTGAAATAGCTGCACCAGGCAGAATTCCCTTTAGACCACAGCCTGGCCTGCCATCCACTCCCAGTACCTTTCAGACCATGAAAACTGGCTCTATTAAGGTCAGCCATTGCCCACTTTGTCAAAGGGAACACGGCTGCCCTGGGAAAACCATACCGTGATCCAACTCTTCTCTTTAGTTTGCCCAGGCTTGCTCTGGAGCTCTGAGAATGCCGACCCCTACATGGGGAATGGGTCAAAGACACAGTGCTCCGTCTCAAGACCTGCTTTGCGCTGTCTCCGGCTTCCCCCTTCCAAATACTGCATATTGTCTTGGAAATCAGAGTGGACAAAACCAGGTTCCTGATGTATTGATTCTTTTTGGTGCCACCCGTGACTAGCAAACAGAGGTTTCTCAAATGTTTCTCTTAACTGAACTTTGTCCTGACTTTATTCTCTTTCTTCCTTTTGACTGAGTTATGAGGAGAGACAGAGGTCAGCTGGATCCAGTCCCTGTCCATCCAGAAACCTACATGCCTTTCTTAAAAACTTTGCAAGCCACTGATGGGCATACTTAGATATAAAATATGATATTTTCCCCCTTCTCCCCTCTCCCATTTCCTCCTCTGTTCTCTCTTCCTTTTCCTTCTGCTACTA